GATCCTGGACAATCAGGAGTGAAGCAGCTCAATGATTTACTACAGGATCCAAACTATCAACTGAAGACACTGAGGTGAGATGTGATGAAATAATACAAAATAAATTATATGCAGAATATTTTTTATACAAATGTTACAAGATCTGCTGCTTTACTGCAGGATAAACACTGTCAACTCAACACACTGATGTGAGTATTTTACACGTTTGAATACTTTATACACACACACACACACACACATATATATATATAGTGAGTATTTTACACGTTTGAATACTTTATACACACACACACACACACATATATATATATATATATATATATATATTAGTGGTGTCAAAATTAGCGCGTTAACGCAGGCAATTATTTTTTTTTAATTTTAACACGTTAAAAATATTTAACGCTGTTAACGCAGGGGCGGGGCTACGGTTGGCCACCCCACTCACAACTGCTGTTTCTTTCTCTTTTTTCGTGACAAGAACCATCGTTTATTTAAACGCATAACGTCTTTATGACCACATCAAACAGAAGACGTTTCAGACGCATGCTCCAGCGTCACTTCAGCGCCAGGCGCGAGTCAAACGAGCGCAGAAACAGTACTGTGCTCGGAGCACTTGCTCTTCAATTGCACGCACAAATGCGCTAGGGTGCGCTGTAGGCTGTATTATTTCATATCAAATCGCGAAAGAAACTACGAGCATGCAATGTTATGTCATCAGTTAAGTCATGAGGTTACCAAAAAGGCAATTAAAGCTGCCTTAAAACTGTGCCTGTATGTATTTGTTATTTGAGTCACATTTAAGAACATGTCTCTGAAATGCAGTGGTTTTCCAAACTGTCCTGGAGCAGCTGACTGATCATTTCGCTAGCTAAGACCCTTATTCCTCGGCTGGGATCATGTAGAGCCCTTTGAAGCTGCATTGAAACTGCAATTTGGACCTTCAACCCATTGGTCACCATTGAAGTCCACTATATGGAGAAAAATCCTGGAACATTTTCCTCAAAAAGCTTATCTTTTCGATTTGAAGAACGAAAGACATGAACGTCTTGGGTGACATGGGGGTTTAATGAACAGGACACTTTTATTCTGGAAGTGAACTAATCCTTTAAATTGGCCTGCTTTAACTAATGTAGAGGTCATTTTACAAGCTTTTATTTGTTACTTTTTAAAATGATTACTGATACATACAGGTTGGAGAAGGTTTAGACCTTCAAATGAGACAAATTTGCTTTAATGAAACTATGCATACATGATATTGAATTATAGCTGTTGGTTTAGTGTTAATACAAATGGTCATTTTGTTTTATATACAGGTTGATCCAAGAACAGATGCGTCCAGTCAGCAGGAGCCTGGCTCTTTAGTATAAAGCCTTCATCTGTCGTGTAGTGGACTGTAGGATGTTAACACTTAAAACACACTTTCCATTTTTCAATTTAAAAAAATGGTGAGATTGAGGACAACATTCAGTGTTGACAATGCAGTAATAAATAATGTTCATTTAATTAACAATCCTCCTTGTTGTATTTATAGTGTTAAGGTGAAATTCTTTAGCTGGTGTGCCAAGGTAATTCATAACTGGATACTAATGCTTTCAAATTGAGTATGAATTGATATGGAATGTATTTATATGTAAACACTAAAATGTAATATTTACATTAAGCTTTATGCACAGATGCAGCATTGTCCTGAAACATTTTGTACAAGATCTGCATGCGATTGAGAATTTAGTGGATTTTTCTGGGGACTAAATGCTAAGAATTTTGAACTTCACATTGTTGTATCTATTATTTAGTGTGCTCAGTGGAATACCCATAATTCCTTGCACTTTAATAATTTAATTGTGGTGTTTGGTCAAAGCATGAACAATTATAAGAATGTGTGCATAAGTGGTATTTGGATTTAACATTTTGATTGTTTTATTGTAAACTTGTGATTTTTTTTTATTTCACTTTGTTGAAGTTTCTAATTGTTTTTGTGCGTGTTCATGATGCTTAACTATAATCTCTATTTTCATTAAACATGTTCATGAAGATTGCAAGGGAAATATTCTGCCTGAAATGATTCTCCTCAGGACTGAGTGTTGCTAATCAAACTGAGCTCAACAGTGTTAAGTTGTTTATACTAAAATATATAGTGATGGCAAAATGTCAAGAATACATATTCATTTTGTACATATGCATATTTGTAGACTGATGATTTTGAGGACTGTAATTAATGACACAAACAGGCAGAAGAGCTGAAAATATTAGAGAATAAATTAAACTGATAGTAAATATGAGATCATCTCATTGTTATTTATAATTTTATTAAATGGCCAAATGTTATATTAATTACATAAATAGATGAATCTGTATTAATCTATCAATTTTACATAATTCTCAATTATGACTGTCATTTTAATATTAAAAGATGCACATATATGAAACGGGTCAAGTAATCCTCTACTCAGAATAGACCGTGATATTGAATATGTCGAGTGGCTTCTCTGTTCTGCTGCTGTTACTTCAGAAAGTCCAAAGTCTCTAGTTCTGATGTTTAGGATTGTTTTTTTCCTCCCAGTTTATTTGAGCTATGAGAATGTCTTTAAGTCCAAACATCCACAGTATCAGATAATTTCTCTGTACTTTAACACCAGTGTGTAGAGAGACAGAATCTCTCTCAGTCACTGATACTGACTTCATCGGAAACACCTAAAAAAAAAAAAGGAACAGTTTTAATTAGTCCATCTCTGTCAGTAACCGAAGTTGAGGTTAGTGAATTTCTTAACAGACTGTTATCAGGTGCTGTGAAGGTTTTGAGGGACCTTTTTGTTTTATGTCTTGATTTTTGTTCAGGTTTGTGCTTTTATTTCGAAGTCTTTTTGTCTTCTGCCCTGTATTTTCTGTGAACGCAGACACTTACTGAAGGAAAAGACAGAACAGAAAGCAAATGAACTGAGAAATTGTTCAATCTAATTGTTTCCTGAAGGTTATTTTATTAATATTTTTTTACACACTAAAATACTAAAACGTTTTTACATTAACTGTTAAAATGGTGTTACATGCGTATTTTAGAAAAGATAACGTGCTATCTAAAACACATAAGATTCATTGCTACAGACATTATTTTTTACTTTTATCTACAATGTATAATGGTGAATAAAAAGTTTTATTTACCATTATTTTTTTTGTTTTATTTTACTTAGCCTATTTATTAACTAAATAATTAAGTTGCTGTTTTGTCAGAAAGTCTTTTTCAAATGCGTTAAGGATTAAATCCCAATTTTTTTCTGATTAACAAAAATTCAATGAAAAATAGGCAAGGCAAGTTTATTTATAAAGCACATTTCATACACAAATTTGCTTTTCATAAAAGTGCATAAAATAAAATAGCATAAAAGGAAATCAAATAAAAATTACAACGTAGGAAATCAGTTAACAAAAAGAAGAAATAAAACGTACAAATGTATTCAACAGTATAAAGAAATGCAGTGCACCAGGATGCAGAAAACTAAATACTGTAAACCCAAGCAACAAACGGTTTGTGGAAATGAACTGAAAGTGTTCAAAACAAACAGGTTAATCAACTCATCACTGCGAATAAGAAAAAATTAAAGTTACTGTAATCAACTGATCTATTGTGTTTCCATGTCTCAAACAGACACTTTGTTACTCCCTTTTTTCCCCTAATGACCCCGAACGCCCAGTCAACCCTGTTCATACTAGAGCTAGGCTTTTCTCAACAGCGATCAGAAATTATAAGTGCTTCACAGAAGTCTGGATTACTCTCTCTTTTTTTAAACAAGATTATTGCAAGTAAGTTTTAACTTTAACTAGTTATTTGGGGGTTTTGATTAAATTTGAATTTACAATATTGCAGATATGTTGTAGACGAAAATGATGCAGCCAGAAATTATGTGAACAAACTCCATAAACTATTCTTTTATTCCTGTCTCGTGAAGAAAAACACACAGTACTGCAAATACATTACCAAGTGTCAAGTCGTCGGACATTGGACAATCATCACGTAAACACGGCACAAATGTGTAAGGAACGACTTGCGGATACAAACGGGGTAAATAATGTTTTGTGTGTGTGTGTGTGTGTGTGTGTTTTTCCTATAATAAAGTTAACATTGGCTGTTATTACATTATCAGCACTGTTGAAAACATGTTTCAGGAATACAGTGACACACATAATGATATTCTGGTATTTGTGGAGGCTGTCCGGAAGGAATTTGTTGCCATAGCCACGGGCATAGCTTGACATTTGGGCTATAGGGCAGTGCCAGGGTTTAAAAGAGACAAGAGAACCGTTGTTGGTGCAGGAGTGTCAAAGACATTATTCAATATAATCTGTGCATTATAAACGTTTTTTGTATAAATGTTTAAATGTTTTGTGTGCTATAAATGTTTAAAATGTTTGTGCGTATTACCTACAAACACATAAGACTCAATGCTAAAGAAATAATTCTAATATACTTTTATTATATTGTACAATGGCAATTTCAATGGCTTGACTTCAGTGACTTCAATTGGGACGTTGCTATTTTGTCAGGCAGCCTTTCTGTCAAACTCAATATACATGAGTGAATGATTCAGTTTTCTAGACATTCCCAAGAATTACGGACTTTGTAATAAAAAAGCAGAGAGACTTAATGGAGTGAAGAAAATTCATCAAGGTAAATTCATAATTTTCTAATGGTTTGTAAAAACGAGACCGAACATGTTACAGACAAACATAGAACTCTTGTTCTTGTTTCAGTGGTTGTTACTCTGAACATACAAAGCTGCCAGAAAATACTTTAAAAATTGCAAATTTTGAAGATGAATATATTTCTGAAAGATTTCTTTTTTTATGCTGTTGTTTTGTGGTTATGTGGCATAGAAAGTATTTTCTACTGCCATGTTATTCATGAGGGACATCTCCAGATCACACTGAATGTCTGATTGTCTTCACAAATCAATGCTTTACTGTATTCACTGGCATTTTTGCTGCAGTGTCAGAAGAGTGAAGAAAGGACTGTCCATCTAAGATGAGTCTCCCAGAGGAAGAGAGGTAAGACTGTTTCTGTCTTCAATTAATCATTTCAAACACTAATTTCTTGTGAAGAACAAAAACTTGTCAACAAAGACTTTAATATTTGATGTATGTTACATTTGGAAATACTGTGCAAATTGCCCAGAAGTTTTGTATGTACTTATGGGTTAAAAATGAAACTATTATTTTGAAGAAATAAAATGTATTCATGACAAACAGAGCTTTATAGGTGTGTCACAGTTAACTTACTACGTAATAATAATTAGTGTACCCCTGCACTTTTACCATGACTGTTGATGTTTTGGGAAAACAAATGAATAATTTTAGTTAACAGACACTACAAATGACTAAATATTAACATCAAAAATACTAGAAAAACTAGACAATATACATTTAAAATTTAAAGTGTTGAAATCTGAAAAAAAAAAAAAAAAAAAACTCTTTCCTTAGCCTGTAAACGTTTTCAGCCGTTCATTCACTGCACACAGTCCAAGTCAGTTTTGCTGATATAACTAGTTGCTTTAATTTATTTATGGTATTTTTGTTGATACTAATTTAATGCACACATGGATTTACTGTCGCAAAGTTTTAGAATCACAGGTGTTTTACAAGAAAGTGTAAATTGTGAAGGGTGAGGAACCAGTGCTCCTCTTGGCTGTTAGTTTAACCATGATTTAATTGCTGCAGGCCTGATCAGTTATTAGGATGAAGTCTCAGACCAGGACATAGTTTGTGTTAAAGTTCTAAATGTGGTGCTAAAATTCTTCATATTGAGATTCCTATTTTTTCTCTCTCTGCTCTTTGTGTCATTAGTGTAAGATCAGGCTCACATGTGTTCAGCTCTGTGTCTGTGAAGAGTGACTGGTCACATGATCTTCCACCAAAATTCAGTGAGAAAACACCATCATCACCTACCAAAAGGTATTTCATGTGTTTTACATTATAGTGTTACATTAGCTCCACTGTGGTGTACATGCATGTAAAACTTAATAAAACAATAAATCATAGAATTAAATCTGGAGCTTCTTTCCAATAATACAATTACACAGGTAGCCACTGGGGGACATAAATTCACCATGGAAAATACATCAGGCAACTGAACATACATTCATGAGAAGGACAAATGCACAGCTATAGTGCATTTAATTACACTAAATCTCTTTAAATGAGACTGAAGCAGCTCCTGTAATAAAGTGTTTTCTTTCTCTCTCTGCTCTTTGTGTCATTAGTGTAAGATCAGGCTCACATTTGTTCAGCTCTGCGTCTCTGAAGAGTGACCATTCAAAAAAGGATATACCCAACTTCAGTGAGAAAACACCATCATCGCCTACCAAAAGGTATTTTATGTGTTTTGAATTATGAGTTTGTGTTAACTGTGATAAAAAATTACAAAATAAAACAAAACTCTGAGAGTGTTACATTGCTTTCCTGTGTAATGATTGTAATGTTTCTGCCTGCCTCCATTTTGCAGCTTACCATATAACCCACTTCTTTCATATTTTTCAGAATTGCTGTGATAACTCACTGGTGCTAAAATAGAGAGCTTCATGAACCTTTAATGACCTCGGTCTGAACGTATTCTTATGAGACAGAAATGTTTTTTTCTCTCTGTTCTTTGTGTCATTAGTGTAAGATCAGGCTCACATGTGTTCAGCTCTGTGTCTGTGAAGAGTGACCATTCAATATTTATACCACCAGAATTCAGTGAGGAAACAATATCATCTACCAAAAGGTATTTCACGTGTCTCTTGTTGTTGATCACACAGACTGTTAGAAAATAATTCTGTGACTACATTTCACCTCAACCCTTTTTCTTTACTGATGAATGCTGGGTAGGAATAAAATGCTGGTTTGATTGATTGATGGTTCGACCCAAATGATAAAGACAACTGTGCTTCTGTTAGATTCCATGTGTTTTCTCTTTCTTTCTTGGTGTGATTTAGTTACAAAGGACAGAAGACAACAGTAAATATTGGTGCAGAATTTACACGGTGGCAAACACTAAAAGCACAGAAGGGATTGAAGAGTGATGTGGAACTGGCAACTTTTCTTCTCAACAGGTGTGGACACTATATACCACAGTTTACCTTGCAGTTAAATTTACATATATAAGCTAAATAAGCTACCATGCCAAAATTTGTAATTAATTTTTGCAAGAGAGTAAGCCATAACATTTAACTTGGCTTTTGCAAATTTGCTGCTTTGAATTTAGAAAAAAAACCAAAAAAAAACAAAGAAGCATTCCATTTATCTGTTAATTTTATTTTAATTGACTGTGAACACTGAACAAATGTATTTTGCTAACAGGGTTCAATATGAGAAATCAGCCGCAGAATTCCAGACGTACCGCCTCCGTAAAGAGTTCAGTGAAAATCGCCTCTGGATCTTCCAGGTAGAAGGCCTTCCTTGACTTTTGAACAGCCTTCATTTTAGAACTATACCAAAAATCACACAAAATTATAATGGTATAGCAGAGAAGTGTAATCTCTTTTGTTAGGTTATGTTGCATTTTTAATCTCACAAATGTATCAAATAAAAAATAGGCTATTTATTTAAAAAATTGAAGTCGTTTTGTATATTTTATGTTCTGGTAAATTTGTAGTTAAATGTATAACTAGCACAACTTCATAGATGTATGTACTGTTGCTTGACTGCAGTTCGTTCTAGATGTAAAATGTATGTTTTGAGCATATGTTTAATGTGTTCTACTGCTTTTTTGTATGTTTTTTTTAGGATCTTGAGAACAAAATAGTCGTATTTCTGAAAAATGAGTTGGAAAAGTTGAAGAAAATATTACAAAAAGAGAACACACAGTACTTTGTGCAAGACTTCAATGAAGGCATGTGCAGTATCAAAGAAGCAGCTCTGGATATCACACTTTACTTCCTAAGAGATATGAAGCAAGATAAACTTGCAGATACTCTAGAGGGTAAGATGCTCATAAAATAACAATCTGACATATTGTCATGTATGCATTCTAAAAGAGGTGCATACCTTTGTGCTTTTGCTCCTTTTTGTGTATTTAGATGAGCTCGTCCTCATTCATCAGCGACAGCTGAAATCAAACCTGAAGAGGAAGTATCAATGTGTGTTTGAAGGAATTGCAAAACATGGTGATTCTACACTTCTGAATAGCATCTACACAGATCTCTATATCACTCTGGGTGGTAGTGAACAGGTCAATACTGAACATGAAGTAAGACAGATTGAGGTTGCTTTCAGACGTCATGAATCACAAGAGATACAGGTTGAATGCACAAATTTGTTTGAAGCACCTGAACAAGACAAGGAGATCAGAACTGTACTAACAAAAGGAGTTGCTGGCATCGGAAAATCAGTCTCTGTGCAAAAGTTTGTTTTGGATTGGGCTGAAGAAAAAGAAAATCAGGATATCAGCTTTGTATTTCCTCTTCCTTTCCGGGAGATGAACTTAAAGGAGGAAGAAAACCAAAGCTTGATGAGCCTTGTAAGTCAGTTTTTCCCTGAGACAAAAGGACTGAACCTTACAAGAAGGAATCAATTCAAAGTCCTGTTCATCCTTGATGGATTAGATGAATGCCGACTTCCTCTAAACTTTGAGGGTAATGAGACATGGCGTGACGTCTCGTCACCAGCCTCTCTGGATGTTCTCCTCACAAACCTCATCAAGGGAAATCTGCTTCCTTCTGCTCTCATCTGGATCACCACCAGGCCAGCAGCTGCCAGTAAGATTCCTCCTGACTGTATCGACCGGCTGACAGAGATACGAGGATTCAATGATGAACAAAAGGAGGAGTACTTCAGAAAAAGATTCACCGATGAGAATCAGGCCAACAAAATTGTTGATCTTGTTAAACAATCAAAGAGTCTCTTTATCATGTGCCACATCCCAGTCTTCTGCTGGATTTCAGCCACTGTTCTCCAGAACATTTTGGAGGAGAAAAGAAATAATGTTGTGAAAAACAATCAGGCTGATGACGCCTCCAAAACACTGCAGGAAACAAATACTGAAGACACTCCCAAGACTCTGACACAAATGTACACACACTTTCTCCGCTTTCAGATCCAGCAGAGCAGACGGAAGTATGATGTTTCCTGGGATAAAGATACCATCCTTTCACTGGGAAAACTGGCATTTCATCAGCTGGAAAGAAACAACCTGATCTTCTATGACACAGATCTGGAAGCCTGTGGTATTGACGTCTCTAAAGCATCAGTGTATTCAGGCATGTGTACCCAGATCTTTAAGGAGGATAGCTGCCAGTAAGATTCCTCCTGACTGTATCGACCGGCTGACAGAGATACGAGGATTCAATGATGAACAAAAGGAGGAGTACTTCAGAAAAAGATTCACCGATGAGAATCAGGCCAACAAAATTGTTGATCTTGTTAAACAATCAAAGAGTCTCTTTATCATGTGCTACATCCCAGTCTTCTGCTGGATTTCAGCCACTGTTCTCCAGAGCATTTTGGAAATGAAAAGAAAAAATTATATGAAAAATGCCAAGATTGTTGATGCTTCAAATGCTGAAGACACTCCCAAGACTCTGACACAAATGTACACACACTTTCTCCGCTTTCAGATCCAGCAGAGCAGACGGAAGTATGATGTTTCCTGGGATAAAGATACCATCCTTTCACTGGGAAAACTGGCATTTCATCAGCTGGAAAGAAACAACCTGATCTTCTATGACACAGATCTGGAAGCCTGTGGTATTGACGTCTCTAAAGCATCAGTGTATTCAGGCATGTGTACCCAGATCTTTAAGGAGGATACAGGGATCATTCTTGGTACCATGTACTGCTTTGTTCACTTGAGCATTCAAGAGTTCATTGCAGCCCTTTATGCACATCTGTTTCTAGACATCAACAACCAAAGTGTCTTTGATCAAGACTCCACAGAAAAGGAAAACAAAAGTGAAACCTTGACTGATTTGCTCAAGACTGCAGTGGACAAGGCACTTGAGAGTGACAGTGGACACCTGGACCTTTTTCTTCGATTCCTCCTCGGTCTGTCACTTGAGTCCAGTCGTCCACTTTTAAGAGGTCTGTTAACTCAGCAAGACAGCAATGACCAGAGCTACAAGGAAATAGTTCAGTACATCAAGCAGAAATTAGACTCTAATCTATCTCCAGAGAGATCCATCAATCTGTTTCATTGCCTGAATGAACTGAACGACCAAACTCTGGTGAAAGAGATTCAAAGCCAACTTAACAAAGGAAGTCTCTCATCTTCTGATCTTTCTCCTGCCCAGTGGTCTGCTGTGGCCTTTGTGTTGTTGACGTCAGAGGAAGAGCTGGAGGAGTTTGATCTACAGAAATTCAAGAAATCAGACGAGTGTTTCTTTAGACTTTTGGAAGTTGTCAAAACCTCCAAAAGAGCTTTGTAAGTCATTTTTGCACTCATTTGAAAAGTACATTAAGTCACCTATAGTTAGTTCTGAATCTATACAATGCATCTTTAATATCTATATACATACATAATATATCCTTTATGTATCAGTTAGCTCTAATGCTTGCTCAGTCAGATCAGATCACAGAGTGGAATTGCTCTTTCTTAGTAGCTAGCAGAAAATAAGTGCAATTTACCTCACTGACCATAGCAAAACTTGACAAAAAACAACAAAAATGAAAGCTTGGTACTTATCTAAATCAAGCAAACAAATGCTCTAATGATAACTAGCTTAACAATGATTGCCATTTAGAACTGCATTGATTAAATGCAGCCATTGAGAAGACAGGTTTAATTTCTAAGTAACTGTTAAAAGACCAAGCAACAAATGCTCCACACACTTGCCATGTTGTAGCCAGGTCTTCTTATTTCTGTTTACGGACATGACGTAACCACGCAAATGTGAATGATTAATATTTGTATTTAGCAAATATATTGTATGTATTCAATTTCAGTTTGTTTGTTGGTATTTTCCTGTTGTAGGTTAAATGATTGTGACTTAACAGACAGAAGCTGTTTAGCTCTGGCTCCAGTTCTTGTATCAGACTCCAATCTGAAAGAGCTCAACATGAACAATAATAACCTACAGGATTCAGGAGTGAAGAAACTCTGCATTGGACTGAAAAGTATAAATTGTAAATTAGAGATACTGAGGTATGTTGTAAGACCACAGACAAAAAGTGAGATTTGTTTGACATATTCTTTACCAGATGTGTTAATATAATGTATTAACATACTGTCAATTAAGTTAATGTAAAGTCTAATAACTAATGCTCCTGTGAAAGTCATGTAGAGCAGTGTTTCCCAACCCTGTTCCTGGAGATAGATAACAGGGGAGTGTCTCAACAAAATCTTAACACAAGTGGTCGCAAAAAAATTATTTGAAAATAATGCCAGTTGGTAACATAGGTCATATTAGTATGTGTTAATTGTGGTACAGACTGAACAACTTTTTTGGGGGGCCCTTCAGGAGCATGTATTGTACATTTTCTACATTTTAGAATCTATACATATTGACAAGCTGTTTATTTTCAGGCTCAGTAAGTGTGATCTAACAGTGAAAAGCTGTTCAGCTCTGGCTTCAGTTCTCCGTTTGGACTCCAGCAGTCTGAAAGATCTTGACCTGAGCAATAATAATCTGCAGGATTCAGGAGTGAAGCTGCTCTCTGATGGCCTGAAAGAGAACTGTAAACTGGAGAAGCTCAGGTGAGTTGATGAGTAACATATTGAAGGTCTCTAGGATTTTTGTTTTGCTTATATTCAGCCGGGCTGTACAGTGTGACATATATGTTGCACATACTAAGAAAAAAACAGTCTGTGTGGTGAATAAATTTACCACAGTAACATGTGTGCGATACAGTTTTGCAATGTGTGTGAGTCCGTTTACAAACCTGTTGTCCAACACAGAATATTTAATGACGTGGTTTCACTCCAAATTCGCTTCATAACATTAGTCAAGTTTTTTAAATTACTTTTTGTGTTTATGAGGTATCAGAGAATGAGGTAGAAAACATGATTTTATGGTATTCTATGCAGTGATAAAGGCTATGTTGATTAGCATTGCATTATAAATATACTTGATTCTTATAAAATAACCAAGATGGATGGACGAACATGGATAAACCATATATTGTTGCAATTGTAAGTTTATTTTCTTCATTTGTAATCAGTTAAAAGTCTCTATCTGCGTTTTATTCAGCTGCAGCGAGAGCTGAATGCCCTAGTCAATATTAGGTTCCTCTTCAGGAACTCGAGCTGCTTCGGAAAACGCTAGGGGAACGCCTTCTGTGACCACGCTCTGAATCACATGTGAAATCAGTCCAATAGCTGAGCGGGACGTCACGGGCGGGTGACGTCATGACCAGGTCACCATGTGTTGGTGCGCACCGACAACACAGCGGTGGTCTCTTACATCAACCACAAGGGAGTTCTGCGTTCATGCCCTTTGTACAAACTGGCGCACCAGATACTTGTGTGGTCCCAGGGCAAACTCTTCTCGCTGAGAGCAGTTCACATTCCTGGGCATCTCAATATGGGAGCAGACATCCTGTCGAGGCAGGGGCCATGCTTCACCCCGAGGTGGTGAAGCAGATATGGAGAGTGTTTGGCCAGGCTCAGGTGGACCTGTTGCGACTCATATGATACCTCACTGTCCCCTCTGGTTCTCTCTGACTCATCAAGCTCCACTGGGTCTGGATGCTATGGTACAGACGTGGCTGAGGCTTCGTCTGTACGCCTTTCCTCCGATTTTTCTGCTCCCGGGAGTTCTGGAGAGAGTCCGCCGGGACAGGACCCGTCTGTTGTTAGTATCCCCTTTCTGGCCGGGCCGAGTTGGGTCTCGGGCCTGATTTCGCTCCTCGACGGCGCTCTATGGGAGATTCCCGCCAGGAGAGATCTCCTCTCACAGGCGGAGGGCACGCCCCCGCCCGGAGCTGTGGGAGCTGTGGGTGTGGCCTCTGAGGAGGCACAACTCATAACTTCCGGTCTCTCAACCGAGGTTGTTGAGACTATCCTCCATCCAGAGCTCCCTCTATGAGGAAACTGTATTTCTGCGGAGACCGCCAGCCCGACCCAGCTAACTGCCCGATTGGTACAGTTCTGGAATTCTGGCAGGCCTGTTTATCCGCAGGGTTGACCCACTCCACCCTAGAGGTCTTCGTGGCGGCCATTGCGGCCTACCACGCCCCTCTCGGTGGCCATTCAGTGGGAAGACACCCTCTTATTACACCTTTCCTCTGCGGTGCGCTGAGGCCGAGGCCTCCGGCCAGGGAAGCTTATGCTAAGTGGTGGATCAGGATGCTATTCCATAGCCTCGAGTCCTCTGATCTCCCCTCTCCTTTGGGGGTCAAGATTCACTCCTCCAGAAGTTGGCCTTCGGGACGGCGGCACAGAAGGCGTTCCCCTAGCGTTTTCCGACACAGCGTCTCGTTCCCTCGAGGAACCAGGATTACATACGTAACCTGAGAGGTTTTCCTGCAACATCATAAGTTAAAGGTGCAGTGTGTAAATTTTAGCGGCATCTTGCGGTGAGGTTGCGAATTGCAACCAACGGCTCAGTCCCCCGCTCACCCCTCCCTTTAGAGAAACTACGGTGGCCGATACAGGACTAAGATGTCGTAGTCTGAGACAGCCGAGAGTAGCCAGCAATGTGGTTTCTTTACAAAGGTAAATCAAGGAATTATATTTACTTAATTATTCAATAAAATGATATGTTATTGCGAATATTATTGTTACTTGTTCATCATTGTGTCAGTGATTTATTCGCAAGAACATCATAGTGACGAAACGCGCTCAGTTTGTCCTTTAAGGGCTACTGTACAAACATGGTTGCGACTTTCATGTAAGGGGACCCGCGGTGTATGTAGATATAAATTGCTCATTCTAAGTTAATAAAAACAAAACAGTTAATTGTGTAAGGTCTTTATACACATCTGAAAACATAGTTATGCATATTATATTGCATTTCTGTCAATAGATCCTCCTAAATATTACACACTGCACCTTTAAATTACTTCTGTGAGTCTCACTTGTGGAGTTTGTGCGTAAGGGTGCCCTCTGGCTTCTAGTATGAATAAAACAGACATTACATTACACATATTTACTCACTAATACTCATAACACCCTGTTTTGGGTAAAAATATGAAAAATATAACTTCTCTCTAAAGAAATTTGAAATAAATATGTTAATCCATACATCTTTCTCCAGTGTAGGGAAGTGTATAGGAGTTATTTTTCCTCTCAGGGGATGCACAGGAATTCCTGACAAAAATTAAATTACTGTCACAGATTTTTTTTTTTTAACTTAATCATTTAAAATTTTATAACAAAGCCTTAGACTTTTCTAATTATTTATAGTTATAGAACCCCTGCATGTGACAGGTCACCCTGCAGTTTTCTGTGAAATCTAAGGATGCTAATAATTATATAACCTTACATTGATATAGGAAAACAGTTTGCCCAAATTGTGCTGTCCGATAAACTAGCACAACAAACCTGCTGTTATTTAATATATAAATATTTTGCAAATGTGTTTCTTGTTAAATTTGGATTTTGTGTGCCATGTATGGAACAATAATTTCACATGCCCATTTAAATGATAAACTGCGCTTCTTGTGGTTGTTTTCAGAGATGGTAACAAATGTTTTATTCTTGTGCTGTAATTGTGTGGCCTGTGCTACAAAACTTTCATCCTCTGCAGCACCAGTGCTATGAAAAGTGAACATACAGCCCTATTCAGTCATGAGTTTCTGTTTGAAAATATATATATATATATTTTATTTATTTAATTGATTTATTTTTATAATTGATTATTTAGCCGAATGTTGTATTTTAATACCTGTTCTAGACTCTCTGAGTGTAATGTAACAGAAGAAGGTTATAAAGCTCTGGCTTCAGCTCTGAGATCAAACCCTTCACACCTGATAGAGCTGGATCTCACAGGAAATGATCCTGGAGCATCAGGAGTGAAGCAGCTCAGTGATTTACTACAGGATCCAAACTATCAACTGAAGACACTGAGGTGAGACATGAAGCAATAATGCAAAGTAATTGATGCAGGCAAGTTATTTGTAAAAATATTTAATTAATACAGTTTCTTAAAGTAAATTCAAGTTTATCTTTAAAATGTAATGAATCCTGCTTCATCATTCTTCTCCAGGTTTTTGAGTCCTGCTGCAGATGAAGCCTGTCAGTATGTGACTGGAATTGTGGGTAAAAACCCGTTACTGCTGAGAGAGCTGAATCTGAGTGAACATGAACTAGGAGACACACGAGTGAATCAGATCTCTGCTCTACTTCAGGATAAACACTGTAAACTTAAAACACTTCAGTGAGTATTTTTTAATTTATTATGGTACATTTAAAGTATCTTAAATATATCATTATAATGAATACTCCTCAGTGATCACTGAATGTTGGCATCAAGTTCTTTGTGTTTGTAAATTCTCTCCTGTTCATACTGCAGGATTCAGGAGTGAAGAAACTCCAGAATGGACTAGAAAATATTAACTGCACACTGGAAAAACTTGGGTATGTAAATTAAATGAAAATATTTTAATCGCAAAACATTATCTTTGGTTCAAATTTAAAATGACTCTAGTAGACCTAATAGAAAGGTAAGATTCTTCTTATGTCAGCACTTATGAATATTTTTTTCTTCACTAACCTGAAGAGGTGCAAAAAAAGTTCTAAACTTGGCTTTTTAACAAAGCAATATGTATTTTAACAGTATTTTTAATAATAAAAATAATGTTTTTCAATAATATTTATTATATAAAAGTATTATTATTATTATTATTGTTACACACCTCTTTTCTGTAGACTTTCAAATTGCAGTATTACTGAAGAAGGTTATCTAGCTCTGGCTTCAGCTCTGAGATCAAACCCTTCACACCTGATAGAGCTGGATCTCACAGGAAATGATCCTGGACAATCAGGAGTGAAGCAGCTCAATGATTTACTACAGGATCCAAACTATCAACTGAAGACACTGAGGTGAGTGATATTAAAATAATGAAGTCCAATAATTTTGAAACTTTAGCTGAAAGATTATTAAAGTATTAGATCACTTCCAGAATAAAAATTTCCTGATAATATACTCACCCCTTGTCATCCAAGATATTCATATCTTTCTTTCTTCAGTTGCAAAGAAATTAAGTTTTTTGAGGAAAACATTCCAGGATTTTTCTCCATTTAGTGGACTTAAATGGTTCCCAATGATTTGAACTTTCAAATTGCAGTATCAGTGCAGCTTCAAAGGTCTCTAAGTGATCCCATCCGAGGAATAAGGGTCTTACTTAGCAAAACGATCGGTCATTTTCATAAAAAGATTAATATTTATATACTTTTTAACCACAAATGCTCATCTTGCACTAGCTCTGCGATGCGCATGCGCGTCGTCATATATTGCGTAATCACGTTGGAAAAGTCACGTGTGGTTAGTTCTTCGTCTGTGTACTTCGGTTCAGAAAGGTAGAGTAGGGTAATAAACTCCATCTCATTTTTTCCTCCAACTTCAAAATCGTCTGATATCGTTATTTTACCTTATTTTGTAAAGGGCGTCTGACTTTCTTTGCACGCTCGCGCATGTCACGCGTGCGTGATTATGTAATGTGTGAGGTTGAGCTAGTGCAAGATGAGCATTTGTGGTTAAAAAATTATATAAATTCGTTTTTTTTTTTTTCTTAAAATTATGATTGTTTTGCTAGATAAGACCCTTATTCCTCAGCTGGAATTGTATAGAGCCCTTTGAAACTGCATTGAAACTGCAGTTTGGAAGTTCAAACCATTGGGAACCATAAAAGTCCACTATGTGGAGAAAAATCCTGGAATATTTTCTTTCAAAAACCTTAATTTCTTTGCGACTGAAGTCAGAAAGACATGAACATTGTAGATGGCACGGGGGAGAGTAAATTATCAGGACATTTTTATTGTGGAAGTGAACTAATCCTTTAAACCATGAAAAAGTTATTTTTAAAAGCTTTCAAATTATTAAAGGCTCTGTCACAAGCATTTGAAAACAAGTCATAATATGGCAGGTAATGTCGATGTACTTCTCCTGTCTGCAGGTTTTTGGGTCCTGCTGCAGATGAAGCCTGTCAGTATGTGACTGGAATTGTGGGTAAAAACCCGTTAATGCTGAGAGAGCTGAATCTGAGTGAACATGAACTAGGAGACACACAAGTGAATCAGATCTCTGCTCTACTGCAGGATAAACACTGTAAACTCAAGACACTGACGTGAGTATTGTTAATTTATTATTACAAATTTAAAGTATCTTAAAGAAATCAGATGACTAAAACAAAATAATTCTCAGTACTCACTGAATGTTGGCATCAAGTACTTTGTGTTTGTAAATTCTCTCTCTCATGTTTAATATTTTAGTCTGCGTAAGTGTGGTCTAACAGAGAAAAGCTGTTCAGCTCTTGCTACAGTCCTGAGATCAAACTCCAGTCTGAAAGATCTTGACATGAGTAACAATAATCTGCAGGATTCAGGAGTGAAGAAACTTGGATTAGAAAATACAAACTGCACACTGGAGAAACTCAGGTGAGTGATTTAAATCATAGTGTTAAACCATATTTAATGCTAAAAAAACGAAAGAAATGGCAAATATTTTTCTTCTTTAGCAGTAATGTTTTATGTTTTTTTGTTGTTGTTGTTGTTTGTTTGTTTGTTTTGAATCTAACGTTTTATTCACCTTCTTTGCCTTACCTTTTTTTTTTTTTTTACAATTTAAAATTATTTCTCAACACAATGTTAAGTTTTTACGTGTTTCAATTGTATTATGTAAGATATTTTATTTTGAACTTTTCTGTAGACTCTCTAACTGCAGTATCACAGAAGAAGGTTATAAAGCTCTGGCTTCAGCTCTGAGATCAAACCCTTCACACCTGATAGAGCTGGATCTCACAGGAAATTATCCTGGACCATCAGGAGTGAAGCAGCTCAATGATTTACTACAGGATGGACATTATCAATTGAAGACTATCAGGTGATTAAAACGTCACATTTTTTGAACTTATTGAAAGACATGAAGTCCACTGTATGAAGCTAGGTAAAGGGCTCAAATGGTCTACTGTGGAACTGCAATGACAGGAAGAGGAATTTACAGACTCTCAATACTAAGAATTTCAACACAATCATACCACTGAATTTCATTTCCAATACAAGTGTCATGACAAAATAATAATTGCTTCAATAATTTGAAAATAAGTACATCCTACTGTAGAAATGCACAATACATAAAATTAAGATGAAATTATATTAAAAAAACATAATAAGAATATAATAATAATAATTAATAAAAATATAATTCCTTTAGGTTTCTGAAAAGTGCTGCTGCACTCGAAGCGTGTAAGTATCTCACTAAAGTTCTGGGTAAAAGTCCATTATTACTGAAAGAACTGGATCTGAGTGACGATAAATTAGGAGAGCTGGATGGAGAGAAACTCTCTGCTCTTTTGATGGACTCTCATAGTAAAGTGGAGAAAATGAAGTGAGTGAACATGATTTTATACATTATATCTTCTGTTTATTCAGTGTAAAAAACTGTTGGCCACATGTGTGAGCAGATATGAAGAGCTGTTGATCTGTTGTGTGTTGAATATGTGCTGAATAATAAATAATGCTCATTTTGTGTTCAGGCTGAATAATTGTAAGCGGACAAAGAAAAGCTGTTCAGTTCTAGCTACTGTTCTCTTCTCAAAAACCATCCTGAAAGAGATGAACCTGAACAACAGCCGTCTGCTGGACTCAGGAGTCAAAGAGATCTGTGAGGGACTGAAGAATCCTGTGTGTGAGCTGAAGATACTCAAGTGAGTACATTTCACCAGCAGCTACACTCAACTCCAGCAATCACTGGAATACTATATATTCATTCAGTCTGCTCAAAAATACTTTGCATTGTGATTATGTCTTTAACTCTAGTGTGATTTAGTCCATTTATGATTCAGACTATTGTGCAGTTATTAATTTGATCCACAGTGTTCATTTAATTAACGTTTTTATTTTCTGTAGACTCTCTAACTGCAGTATCACAGAAGAAGGATATAAAGCTCTGGCTTCAGCTCTGAGATTAAACCCTTCACACCTGATAGAGCTGGATCTCACAGGAAATGATCCTGGACAATCAGGAGTGAAGCAGCTCAATGATTTACTACAGGATCCAAACTGTCAGCTGAAGACACTGAGGTGAGTGTTCTTGATATAATAAAGTGTAATAGAACTAACAGAACTAAAACTAGTAGTAATGTCAGTTGTCAAGATGATTAGTAATTGATTTTCAATAAAATTAGCTATTATTTGACAGCTTAATTGTTTATGCCACTAATGTTAAAAATAGAAAAATAAAGAAAAATAGAAATTTGCAGCAACATAGTATGCATGGGAACAAGATGGATGTTGCGGCGCAGTTCTTTATTTTCCCCCTGATCTTGCGCACTATGAGATCCATGTTGTCCCCAGACACTTAAAGATGCACAGAGAGCACCCACCTCGAGTGATGCCAACTTAGCAATTTTGTTGGTCGATTTTGCAACTTTTCAGATGATCCTAGCAACTTTTTTTTTCCAAAAAGCACTAGCAACAAATTTAGCAGCTTTTGAAAAGTTGCTATATCAAATTCTATAATGCATGCATTGTCACCCTAAATGGCATGATTTTCACTCCAATTTTCTCTGTCACACACTCAGTCACAAGACATGGACACGTTCTGACTGAAAGAGTGCATTGTGTGTGAAATCATCTGCGGTGGCAGCTCAGCTGACTTCAACTGCAATAACATGCGTTCGAGACAAACTTATTTTGAAATCACTTATGCTTGTTACTCATTCGTTTTCTGTTTCTAAAGAAATCGAAGACTGCAATGTGAGGCTTATCATTTAAAATATAATTTTTATCATTAAAACTGGTTTTGTCAAAATGTTGATCATACGAAAACCTTTGAAATGATTACTGGCCCTTTCACATACTTTCACAAAAGTCATTATATGGCAGGTAATGTCAATGTACTTCTCCTGTCTGCAGGTTGTTGGGTCCTGCTGCAGAAGAAGCCTGTCAGTATGTGACTGGAATTGTGGGTAAAAACCCGTTACTCCTGAGAGAGCTGAATCTAAGTGAACGCAAACTAGGAGACTCGAATGTTAATCGACTCGCTGCTCTACTGCAGGATGAACACTGTAAACTCAATACACTGATGTGAGTATTTTGTTTATTATGGCATATTTAAGCGGCCATACTGGGACGTTTTGGCTTCACTTCACTATAGTGGAAGGAAGTGTAGACACGTCATCCATCTTTTTTTTTTTTCACAGTTTATAGGTGCATCCCAATTTGCATACTTGTGTACTATTCCACTACTCATGTTAACTCTAATGAAATGAAATAATGTGTAATGTTGGATGCTTCATGCACTCAACCATCGCAGCTTTAATTATGTAGTGGAGGTGGAGGGGCAGCAGACTCCAATGATGATAAAATACCCTTATACTATAATTCATACACTACACGGTTGAGTGGATAGTGCATAACTATGGATTACTTTGGTTAACTTTGGTTACTTTGGAAATGCAATAGGTTACAGATTACAAGTTATCTTGTTTAAAATGTAGGAAGTAGGGTAATTATTTCAATTACTTTATTAATATAACTGATTAAGTTTGGTTACTTTTAGATTACTTTTTTATATTTCTAATGAATGTTTTCAATTGTTAACTGTGAAAGTGATCCAAACTATATTGTTCATCTATATCTTTATTATTATAGTTGTGGTATGGTTCTTTTAAATTTAAAATTATATTTTGAACTTCATCTTTATGCATATAGTTATCGTTCTTGTTGTGAATGGGCCTTAATGTTTCTGCCAGATATGAAGTATATGTTTTTCTTCTCTGATCAATAGAGAAAAATAAATAAAATGTATTTAAAGTTTTTTGGAATAAAATTATCTTCTGTGTAATGAATTTGATAACTATTTAAAAGACTTTCAGACTGCAGTATCACTGAAGAAGGTTATAAAGCTCTGGCTTCAGCTCTGAGATCAAACCCTTCACACCTGATAGAGCTGGATCTCACAGGAAATGATCCTGGACAATCAGGAGTGAAGCAGCTCAGTGATTTACTTCAGGATCCAAACTATCAACTGAAGACACTGAGGTGAGTGATTTTAGTGTGTTTTAAGCAATATTTTCTATACTTTCTAAGTTTAATAGTTGCAAACTGAATTGAATCCTGCATCATCTTCTCCTTTACAGGTTTTTGGGTCCTGCTGCAGATGAAGCCTGTCAGTATGTGACAGGAATTGTGGGTAAAAACCCGTTACTTTTGAGAGAACTGAATCTGAGTGAACGTGAACTAGGAGACTCAAACATGAAGCGGCTCGCTGCTCTACTGCAGGATAAACACTGTACACTCAACACACTGACGTGAGTATTTTACATGCTCTGAAATGTTAAATTGCTTTTAATAGTAATGTTACAGTAGTTGATAATACTATTTTCTCTTTTGCCTGATTTAGAGACACAATAAAATTATGTATTAAAGGGGTCATATGATGCAATTTCAAGTTGTCCTTTCTCTTTGGAGTGTTACAAGCTGATTGTGCATAGATAAGATTTGAGAGAGGCGGGGCATATAGGACCTACAATAATGTACAGTATTTGAAAAATAATGTGTTTTTTGAACATTAAAGCATGTCAACATATTCTGTTACACCAAATACACAAAATAATGATCTTTAAAAAAACATCATATGACCCCTTTAAAATTTGATTGCTTTCTACCCAGAGCTCTGTGGAAAACTGTGGATCAAACTTTTTAGTTGGCCAAACAAATCAATAATGTATTTTCAGTCAAGTCAACAATTATTTCAGCTACTGTAGAGGGAGCTGAAATATTTTTTTTATTTTTCAATAATATAATAATTCTAAATAATAATAATTCTACAGTTTGTAGAATTACAGTAGAATATTCTGAAAAATACATTTTATGATGCTGAATTCTGAGCTGCATTTACTTACAAAGTGCTTTTCAAATGGCAAACTACTGTCATGAGACCCAAACTTTTAACTTTATTGGGTCATCATAGATGTGATTCATTGTCTTTTCTCTTTCTGTCTTCAGTCTGTGTGGATGCAGTATTACAGAGAAACAGTGTCTCATCCTGACTTCAGCTCTGAAAACAAACCCATCACACCTGAGAGAACTGGACCTGAGTGAGAATAAACTACAAAACAGGAGTGAAGATCTTATGTGACGTACTGAAGGATTCAGACTGTAAACTGGAGAGATTGAGGTCAGGAACATTCATGAGTTCACATATTTGTGAAAAGGTCTTCACATTATTTGTGCGTTTTTGTGATATGGTGAAATAAAAATGATCTCTCTTCTTTTGTCTATTTTTGTTATGAAGTTAGCTTCTGTCTTATTTTCTGCTCTCTTTCTCAATGTAGGTTAAGATACTGTGATATGACAGATGAAGGTTGTTCTGCTGTAACTTCAGCTTTGCAACCAAACCCATCAAACCTGAGAGAGCTGGACCTCAGTGGAAATCAACTAGGAGTTGAAAACCTTGGTGTTCTGCTGAAGAACCCAGAATTCAAACCGGAAATACTAGCGTTAGTACCAGTTTACTGTTTAGGTGTATTTTAAGACAACACGACTTACATCATTTATAGCACTGCACATTCTGGAATTTCCTCAATGATCATACTTTATATTAGGTGTTTAACACTCCTAGGCCTTTTTCAATATATGTTTCTTTTGAATATATGTTGAATAAAAACTATGTATCCTCCAAAATGTTGAACAAACAAAAACAGAAATGGTGAGACCATAAAATATCAGGAGTGTAAAACATTCTCACTCAACCCCACACACTCCTACACAGACAGAGAGAAAATAAAATGAATGGCAATCTCTGACTGTTAGCGTTACTGCAAAACTTATACTGCAAAAAATGTTATCAAAAAATAGAGGTATAATATCTGAATATCCAAAGTATAACGTCTAAGCATAAAATCAAAAAATTTTACACATCAAATTAGACTGTGAATTAAACTAAAAGTCTGTAGCTCTTCAATAAGATCATTTCACTTTTTCTTTTTATCTTCAGTCTGTGTGGATGCAGTATTACAGAGAAACAGTGTCTCAGTCTAAGTTCAGCTCTGCGTTCAAACCTTTCACACCTGCGAGAACTGGACCTCAGTGAAAATGAACTAAAAAACACAGGAGTGAATCACTTATGTGACGTACTGAAGGATTCACACTGTAAACTGGAGAGATTGAGGTGAGGAACATTTACATGCATGAAAGAAACAATTGTTTTTGTGTTTGACTAAGACAGAATGAAAAATGTTTGTTCTTTGATCATATTTCTCCCAATGTAGGTTAGGATGCTGTGATGTGACAGATGAAGGTTGTTCTGCTGTGACTTCAGCCCTGAAATCAAACCCATCACACCTGAGAGAACTGAACCTCAGTGGAAATCAACTAGGAGATTCTGGAGTGAAACACCTCTGTGATCTACTCAGGAACCCACAATGCAAGCTGGAGAAACTAGAGTTAGTAACATTATACTGTACAGCAGTTACAGCATGATGAAAGTTTATTATGCTGTTAGCTGATGGTTTGATGATTCAGTGTGTGTGTCAGTAGCAAGAACTTTAAACTCTGAAACTTTGTGACAAAAATTTGTTTAAAATTGTTTCATATGCTAAAATGGGACAAATCTTTACTGTGAAATGAGAAAGAAGTGGCAATAGACTAAAACAGTCTAACATGAATGACATTAGATTATTTTGGCAGAGTTACATGGTTTTCCAGCACTAATAGAACTTTTGACTGCATCTACTTTTATTAAAGGGGTCATATGATGCGATTTCAATTTTTCCTTTCTCTTTGGAGTGTTACAAGCTCTTGGTGCATAAAGAAGATCTGTAAAGTTGCAAAGACTAAAGTCTCAAATCCAAAGAGATATTCTTTATAAAAGTTAAGAGTCAGACACTCCTACCTAAAACAGCTCATTCTAACACGCCCCCACATATCTACGTCACTATGTGGGAAGATTTGCATAACCCCGCCCAAATGTTCATGCAAAGAAAGAAGGCGTAACTTTTTTTCTCGCCGTAGTATTGTTGTTGCCGCCGCCATGTCGTGAAGGCGCTGTGTGTTTCGTTGTGAAAGCGAAACTACTTTGTTTGGCCTTCAAAAAAAGATGACGATATCTGCTTCGTCATGCCTAGAGCTGATCCGTGCTGGTCGCTGAGGAAATACTACAACTTTCCGCTGTGGATTGCCGGATCAGCTTTCACCGTGGATGAAGCGGAGTCCAGCCCGGGGTCGTCACATGTGGTTGCCGCAAGCCCTCCGGACGCTCCTTCGTCGAATCCGCCAGCCGCGCCAATCTCAAGCCCGCCGCCTCTGCTCACTCTAGCCCCCCGCCGCCGCTCACTCTAGGCCAGCTTTTCAGACCGATGAGCTTTGTAAAAATCGACGCATTTCAGAAAGGCGGGGCATAGAGGAGAAACAATAATGTACAGTATGTGGAAAATAATGTCTTTTTTGAACCTTAAACCGCATAAACACATTTCATTACACCAAATACACAAAATAATGTTATTTTTAGCCTCATCATATGACCCCTTTAAGCAAAATTTGTATTTAGTGATGGTAAACTACACTCAACCAAATTTGATTCATGTACCAAATTTCCTTGTAAATTTTTTTATTGTTATATAGTTGATCCTGTATCTTAATTTACATGAATAATGTAGTTGTTGTTTTTTTGTCTAAGTGAAGATGGTTCCAGAGATGCTAGTATCATCAAATTCAACTTATCCTGTATTGGCTTATGATTATACAATTACGTTTTTCAGATTGTTGCTGTTGTATCAGTGACTGTATGGCATTTATCCATTATGTATTTAACTCACACATGAACTGAACATTGATGTGATTCATTGCTTTTTCTCTTCCTGTCTTCAGTCTGTGTGGATGCAGTATTACAGAGAAACAGTGTCTCATCCTGATTCTAGGTCTGTGTTCAAACCCATCACACCTAAGAGAGCTGGACCTCAGTGAGAATCAAATGAAAAACACAGGAGTGAATCACTTGTGTGACATACTGAAGGATTCACACTGTAAACTGGAGAGACTGAGGTTAATAACATTCACATACAAGAATCAAAATGCTCAAAATCACTTCAACAGGTTTAACCTGACGTTTTAAGGCCCTGATATACTTGAAGTAAAACTTAAGAACATATGGATATGACGTAATTTCAGATGAGTTTGTTGAATTCACCTTACTCTGTTTTCCATGAAGATGATATACCATTATGGAATAAGAGGTTTGTTTTTCTCATTTCCCCTGTTTTAGGTTAAGATACTGTGATATAACAGATGAAGGTTGTTCTGCTCTGACTTCAGCTCTGAAATCAAACCCATCACACCTGAGAGAACTGGATCTTAGTGGGAATAAAGTAAAAAACAAAGGAGTGAAGCACTTATGTGATGTACTGAAGAATTTAGACTGTAAACTGGAGAGATTGAGGTAAGAAGCTTTTGTTCATTAGAGGTGCTCCTGGAGGCCAACATTTTGCAGAGTTTAGCTCCAACCTGCTCCAACACACCTGCCTGCTGTAATCTTGAAGATATTTGATTATCTGCTTCTGGTGTGTTTAATTAGAGTTGAAACCAAAATGTCCAACTAAAGGACATAGTGGCCCTCCAGGAGCAGGATTGGACAAACCTGATCTACAAGAATCAAAATACTTAGTTATGTAAACCGTTTAAACCAAAACACCTTACACTCAATATCACTTAAATATTTCACTTTTTATTTCAGGATGCATATTGATGTTTTTTTTTCTTCTTCATGACATGAATTTTGAGGACATAAAATTCTCTTTTTTTAATTCAGTGATGAGATGGTCATTTGGTCCTTGAATGACATGATGTTCATTTTTTTAAAGGGACAAGTAACATTTCAAGGAATGAAAATGGCAAACAATCATATTTTTGGCAGAATGTAATAGAAAACTAGAACTAAGTCCCGTTAAGGTGTTTCAGAGAGAAATCATTATTTTAAAAGCAGTACAAGTCATTAGTCTGTAAATGGTTTTGTTGTGATAATTTGTCTTGAAATCCAAAAAGCCAAAATCTCCCCCCAAAAAGATACAATTTTTTAGACCAGGTTACTTATTATTGTAGTGAAATCTTGAGACACTCAGCAGATTAGATTCCCATTTAAATAATTGATTTCACTTCTGAAATTTTGTTGAACAAAGGTAAATATAATTGCAGTTGATTTAAAACTCTGGGTTAAAGTGAAAGTCTCTTCCTCTGTCTTTTTCTAGCCTAAATGACTGTGGCATTACGGATGTTGCTTGTTTGGCTCAGCCTTTGGCTAAGACGAAAGCTTTGCATTTTTTAAAAGAACTTGATCTGAAAAAGAATAAAATAGGAAACTCAAGGAAGCAGCTCAGTAAAGCGCTTAAAGACTCCAGCTGTAACCTGAGGCGAGTAAACATCTTTTGTCATGTCATATTAACATGATAACTAATAAGATTACAGACGTTTAATATTAGTGTGATCTGTTACACTTCTTGTTATTCAAAAAAAGTAATTGAAATTCTGTAATATTCAACTTATTACAGCCAACACTGGTTATTTTCTCTTTTGATTTCTCTTTAACAGCCTAGACAGTGAACAGCACCTGTTCAGAGCTGGTCTAAATCATGTTGGTGGATGGTTTTACATTGTGAAATCAACAGGACTGGACCAGACACCATCGGATGAGGGACCACAAAAATGAAAATATGTATTTGTATGGCTTTTAGAATGGGAACAACAATTCATAAATATAAACTATTCAAAACCAACAGCTAAACCTACAGCATTTAACAAATGCAAAATTTATTGTTGTAGATTTAATGTGTTGCTATTTACATAATTCCTAATGCATAAAGGTGGAACAAATTACAAATGAAATATAGCAGCATTAGAGCAAAGAGAAATAGAACAAAAGGGCTGAAATATATCTAAGCCAGATATAAAATGAAAGATGATAGTAGGCGTTATTGTTATTATTATTATCGCGTACTTGTGGTGTTTGGCCAATCACAATGCACTGGGTCAGCTGGCCAATCAGAGCAGACTGCGCTTGTCAAAGGAGGGGGCTTTGTTGAAAACGACGTGTTTGAGAGAGGCGGGGCATAGAGGACTTACAATAATGTACAGTATTTGAAAAATAATGTGTTTTTTGAACATTAAAGCATGTCAACATATTCTGTTACACCAAATACACAAAATAATGATCTTTAAAACAGCATCATATGACCCCTTTAAATACATGTTTTTATTAATTAGTTCATTCTTGACAGCGTATTGTTTTATTGAGTGCTTTTGCATTTTAATGGTGTATTTTGTGCTTGTTTTATTAAGCTGTAAAGATCTACATGTCTGTTTTATTAATGTCAGGGTGCCCATGCTTCTTTTAAGTACTTGAATTTCAGACACACGGATTCAAGGACTGGAAAATGGGAAAACAAAGTAGGTCCTACTAAATTTTGTTAGAGAAACATGGTGCTATTACAGAAATTTACCTTTATGTACTGCCAAAGCCAGAATGAAAGCACTACTTCAAGTAAATTTGGAAAAGTAGCATGAGCGGATCAAATATAGCCTTTTGTGATCCACAATATAGCCTATTAGACAATCATCAGCTCTTGGTGAGTTTTCATTAGCGCTTGATCATACGTGAGTGTTGAGTGTCACAGATATTGTTTTTAAGAGTATGAAGATGTTTTAAGAGACTTTGTCACTCTTAAAATTCTGAGAGATGTCTTTTAATTATGGTCATTTGCAGGGATATATACATATAAGCTCGATACCATAGAGCCTCGCCCCCCCCC